GGTTTGATTGAAAATATTTGCGAATCGCACTCCAGAGCTCATGTGAGTGTCGACAATGGATTACGCGAGCACGGAGAGGTTCAGATAGGGAAGAAAGCAGCCATGAGAATAGCATCTGGTCCTGTTGCTCCCAGATGAAATACGCATCATTTATCGTTTTGTTTTCTTCATCATCACCATTGATAAACTGATCATGAATCTCTGGTTTTTCAACAAACTTGAACAATTTGTGTGCACGAATTACTTATTCAATGTGATGTTTCCAGAGAAGATAGTTGTTCGAATCAAGTTTGATTGGAAGAGGATGTGTGAACGCTGCTGGAAATGTAATATTTCCAGTAGCTGGGTTAAACTCTAGAGCTCTGATACCATATTAGAATATTAATAGGAATTGAAAAGGAAGAAGATGATTTCTCTCATTAATCACAATAGCCAGTACATTTCTATTTATAATAGAGATACTTAACCGACTTGTAAGTTGTAACTAACAATAGGCAGCTCTAACAGACTAACTGTGACAGCTAGACTAGTACTAAGCTATTACAATGTGCGTACATATAGTATTCCTAACAAAGAGATCAGCAGGTTAAAGAAACAAATGTCTCAAGGGTTTGAAATGAAATATTTGGGTCCAGCTAAACAGATACTCAGGATGAGCATAGTCAGAAACAAGGAGAATGGTTCTTTGACACTCTCCCAGGAGAAATACATTGAGAAAGTGTTAGAGATATTCAATATGAATGGTGAGAAGACAAAACCGAGAAACATGCTTTAGGGAAGTCACTTCAAGCTTACCAAAGACCAGTCTCCGAGAACAAACCAAGAGAAAGCAGATATGGCTAAAGTTCCTTTTGCGTCTGCAGTTAGCCTCATGTATGCTATGGTGTGCACGAGACCAGATTTTGCTCATGTAGTCGGGGTTGTTAGTCGCTTCATGTCAAAACCGGGAAGAGAACATTGGGAAGCAGTCAAATGGATACTTCGGTATTTGAAGGGTACTACAAAGATGAGGTTATGTTTCAGAGGTAAAGACGTAATTCTGAGAGGGTATTTTGATGCTGATTTGGGTGGATGCAAAGAGGCGTTTAAAAGCACTACAGGGTACATTTTCACAATGGGAGGAACTGCAATTAGTTGGATGTCCAAACTTTAGAGAAGTGCGACTCTTTCAACAACACAAGCAGAGTACATGGCAGTTGCTGAAGCTAGTAAAGAGCTGGTTTGGTTGAGGAACTTCTTTGAAGAGTTAGACAAAAAGCAAGTAAATTACTCATTACCTGTGATAATGAGAGTGCAGTGAAACTTGCCAAGAATTCAGTCTATCATGGGAAAACAAAGCACATTGGGATGAGATATCATTTTGTTAGAGGGTTGATCAGTGGAGGAACTATGAACTTGAAGAACATTAGATATGTTCACTAAATATATGACGCTGGACAAGCCGATATGTAACTCAGGTGTAACTTCAGGTAGCCTTTAAGAATAATGTTGAGAAGGCAGGTGGCAACTAGGAGGCGCTAAAGTGCCAATGACTTTTACAAAAGTAAAGAGAGGAGTGAAGCTGAATGTGTTTTGAAGCCTCCAAGTGGGAGATTATTGGGGTGTAGGCTTTGAGCCACTCAGATCTGGGGGGCAAATAAACAAGGAGCAGCAGTCGTAGCCAGATGTGCAGCCACCCCTAGTTGGGCATGTTTTTTGGTAGCAATCAGACCCAGAGTTTTAATAAAGAGTTTGCCCTAATTGTTTTCCTATATATATCAACTCATGTACTTGTAAACATCTGACTTGTATCATTCATCAACTCAATAAGAAAGAAAACCCTAGTTTCCCCCGTGGATTAGGTCAGTAACATCTACCGGCTGAACTGCGTTAAATTCATGTGTCGTTCTTCTCTAGTTTTTCAGATTTGTGTGTGCTCAAACCCTAACAATAATCATAAATATAGGCGGCGCAATTTGCATATATGTTCACACACACATATATATGTATGCGAAGTGTGAAAAATGTAAAAACAAATTAGACAAAAAGTGTACACTTGACATATTGCGTCCAAGCGCACGGTAACACAGCTGTCTATCATTTACCATGTTGTTCATTCACTCGTTCACGTGAACACCAAAAGTTTTGTTCAAAATGCGAACAGAGGCGAATTCCGCTTTCAAGGTTGTTCATGTGACCACCAAAACATGTGAAGATAAAGTGCAGATATATATGTGTTGAAGGTTGCTCTTGGAGCAAACAGAATGTGAAAACTCTGCATTCTAGTCTAACAATAAATACAATTGATGACTTGATGTATCATGCATGCATAGAGCACTGACAAGGACCTGACTTGAGACGTGAAAAAGTAATGAAAAGTGTTTCAGAGTTGAGACTAGAATTGTTGCTTAACTCTGCTTAGAAGTAAGAACTCTTAAAAGTATTAGGAATTCGCTTTCTTGATGCTATAAGAATTCTATAGATGGAACGACCTCTTGTTTCCGTGTGCACGTGTCTCCTAGTTCACTATACACACTCCTCAATATTGCATTTCTTCATACAATCCGATGCACTATACAACTATTAATACAAACATTATGTTTTTCGCCGTGAGCTGGCTATTCACCCCCACTAGGTCATCCATGTAAATTTATATGGTATGGGAAGCCCTACTCCTTGAAAAATTCCTAAATTAAAACAAAACGTAGCAGCCTTCCGTATCTTTCCCTTTCCGGAGTAAACATGAAGGACTCTATCTAGAAATATACGCAACACAAAAATAGTAAGAAGTTTCCCTAAATAGAAGGAAAAAGCATGCTTGGAAAATACTGCCATTTATAGCATCAATGTTGACATATTAATGTCTCCTGATGCCAACATACGTGAGTATGATTTCAAGATGACAGTAATTTACTTCTATTTAGGGAAAAAGGCATAGTACTCATATTTTGAAATTTTACATTGTTTATACTCCTATTTCGGAAAATTTCACAAAAAACATTTAATTGTGTCTAGAACTAGAAGCACACAACATGCACCTGTTTTAAACTAAAAATTTACTTACAAATGTAAACAAAAATATTTAATCGTCACTAGAACTACAAGCACATGGCATGCACTTGTTGTAAATTACTTACCAATGCGTCGGTTGAGAAATATCAAATGTCAGCTCAGAATAATTTCTGCACGTCTATCGGCAAATTGGCATCGACACACACAAATAAATCAACTATAGATGTGTGCTACTGCTGTTTCTCTCTCAATTTTCTGGGTATTACGAATTACGATCTAACCGAGATGCAGCACATATGTAGATATATATGGTGACTCAACTTGTGTAATCATCATAAAAGGAAAAGAAAAATGCTTATGGATGAAAATCCCTTTTACAGGTATGGACCCAAAAGGAGCACGAAAACACTTACGGAATATTTGGTTTTGTGGCATTTTACTATTTTTTTGGACACTGATAATGTAACTCTCTTAAATGTATGACCATGTAGTTTTATAGAACGATGACAATGGACAAAACTCTTTTTTAAATCAACAAACCATAAGCAGTCAATGTAATTATTGAAGTTGTACGAATGTCATTAATAATAATACATGGTGCTTTCGATCTCACTTTCAAATGATATCTTGATTAAAATAACGCCGGGATGATTTCATCCTTATTTTGGTGATTGTCATTTCTTTATTATGAGTAAGAGGGAGCATTAATTTTCCAGCTTAGATCTTATGAAATCTATAAACTATAAGTTACTAAGCTTAATATGTGTACCAATTGAGATGTTAAAGTGATTAATATCCTTCCTAAATCAAAATTAGATGGTCGCATAAACTTGTGTTAGAAATCTAAGAAGTATAAAGAAATTGCTTAGCTGGTAATTTAAGAATTCTAGATATGGAAATGTTTGAATATAGAAATTCCTCGATGCTCCATTCCTCATTTGTTTTGATACTGAAAATTCTCTACAGTAACAAAGCTTGTAGGGCTGATTAAAATCAGCTTAATACGATGAAAAAAAATATGCACAGATGGATATTCACAGAATCCCATCTTTAGTCACAACGTTCAGAAATGCTCCTTTACACAACGACTTTATGAATGAAACATCAGCAATTGGTCCACACTGTCCACTTAGCTGAGACAAGTTCAATTTAATATACAGCTATAACTCACACTTCATCTCTCAGTGCTAGGCATAGCTGCCAGTTAGTGCCATTCAAACGCAATTGTAATTATGAGTTTCAAAAAGTTATATATAAACTTGCCTACCAAAACTTAAGTAGTTTATCCCCCCACTTCTAATTAACTATTTACTTCCCCTCTCTCTCCAACTACATCTTCTATCACCTCAAAATTCAGCACAACTCTTGCTCAATCCTTAACAGTTAGCAAACATATCTACTTCTTGAACAACACAGAGTAGCAACTCTTGTTCAATCATTTTTACCTTTCCCTCTCCCTCCAACGCATACACATATAGGCTATGTTTGGCAGGCATAAGTCTCTGCCTTCTAGCTTTTGAACTGTTCAAAAAGTCTCTAAAAGCTTCTAGTTTTATGGTTGGCATGACAATTTTTAAGAGCTTTTCAAAAATTAAAAGATCTTTTTTGAGAAGCTACATGGAGTAGCATCTGAAAAAAGCCCGTGACTTTTAGTATTAATTAGTCCTAACAGCTTGTATACCAAACCAAACTAAATCAAACAGTCAGCTTTTTATCAAATAGCTACGACATTTTCTCTTTAAGATCTTTTAAGTCACTAAAAGCTAACAGTTATTAAAAAACTTACAAAAGTATATTTTTTGCTAGTTGTGCCAAACATACCCATAGTTTGCAGAAGACCTTTATGTGAATACAAAAGATTGTTGAAAGTGTAATATTTATGATACGAGAAACAATTAAAAATATCAAGATATAATATGTGCCATTTGACCTGTACAACAGTTGCAGCCAGGTGGGAGACTACCGGACCTCTACTTAACACTTACATCATCTTGACAAGAAATACTAACCTTTAGGAGGTATCTGTGATCCTTGTTCAAGTGAATTAGATGCGGATGAACCCTTACTGGGCAGCATGGCAGTTGAATCTTGAGCCCTGAAGTTATTTGCCTAGCACATAAGATAGCAAATGAGCACAATTAAGAGAGGATGGAAAAATAATGAAAGTTGATAATTGCCAAAGTGGAAAGTGGAGCAAGTAATGCCAGCACTAATAAGGAAAGATTTGGACGGAATGAATGATGTATTATTCTAATGACCCCTTATTACTATACTGAAAATTGGAATCACTGAGATAGAAGAATATAAGCATCAAAGTTCAACATCTAAGAGATAATAAACTCTATTTCAGGAGAAATCGAAAGCAAAGAGGTATAAAAAAAGCATTGACGCCTACACGGGTCAAAGCTACGGCAGCACAAGCTAAATCAAGGCGGGTTTTGAGGAAAGCCTGGTGCGCCTCGGGATCAACAGGAATACTAGACGCGGGTATCGGCACGAGAGACGCCGTCGTATCTGCACACTTATTACCCGTCTCTGTTACTTTCGCCGCAGCTGCAGCACCGGAGGCGGGGTTCCGCTGGTTTATCTCAAGAAAGTCGTTGCTGGGCAGTTGTACCGAATGAGAAGTAGATGTAGAAGAAGAAGCGGCAGCGGGGCCAATCGGAAGTGTCGGAGGAAAGTTCTGATCAACGACGGCGCCTTCCTGGACAAAACCGTGGAAATTCCAGTCAGAGGAACAGCTGTTCATCATCCCATAGGAGGGTGGGGAGCCGGAGGAATTCAAGGAGGAACCTAGTCCGAGCTCCGACTCGCGGGACAGAGGAACCGGTGGGGGTGGCGACCAGAACTCGTCGGCGATGTCATCCACGGAGAATACCCTGTCCATTTTCGCTCTCTCTGACTCACGTTTCTTATCTGCGAATTTTGTAACGGATGCTGAAGGTCAATGGTACATCTCTATTTTTGAGGGAGTCTCCTCCGAGTGGACCTCCAGACTCCAGTCTTACCATGTCATCATGAATTTAGAAATTAGACATGACATTTTTTATTTTTTAAATAGGATTAAATTTCTGTCAAGTTTGGCATTACTAAGCTTTTAAACATGACATTTTTTTTCAAACTTGGCAGATTACTCCTATTCAAGTAATAAAAAACATGATACTCCTATTTTGGAATTTCAAAACGTTTTTACTTCTATTTAGGGAATTCTCTCTTTAGAAATTCACAGGTATTCTAAGGAATTTAATGAATTTTGTATGCCACGGTACCGGTAGAGTAAACTCAATTCAGTCCTTTAATTAAAAAAAAGGTTTAATTCACACCCCGAACCGGTAAAAATGGATTCAAATTTCATTTTTTAAGTTTAAACAACCGGATAACAAGACTAATTTGCACCCTTAAACTATTAAAAAGTGTCAAAATTGCAATAAATCGAATATAATAAACAGAAGCAATAAGAAAATTAAAAAAATGACCGGTTGTTTACCCGTAAAAAATGAAATTTGAACAATTTTTTGTCGGTTTGGAGTGTGGATTAAACCTTTTTTTAGTTCAGAGACTGAATTGTGCTTACACGACCGGTAAAATGACCTATTTGACCCTTTAGCCTTTATTTTACATATCAAAATTTAATGAAAATTGATTTTTTTTTTTGCAAATTTTGTATCTTTAATGTTGTTTCTGAATATATAAATTTTATTTACTAAGAAATTTTGAATTTTCACGAGGATCGTTTAACTTTATCCTTGGTCAAACTTCGTAAATCGTAATTGCAAGAACAATTAGGGACAGGGTAAAATATATTGACAATCAATTAAGTTGAGTTTAATAAATCAAACTTGTCATGATATATAAATTCTGCACATCAATGATTTACAAATGCACATTATTTTATATCAAAATAAGAATAGCTACTTAAAATAGAAAAGAAAAATTATGAATTTAAGAATGAAAATATAGTTAACAAGCAACTAATTAAACCACTACTACATTTTTAGGCCTAATGTAACATTATGGGTGTACCATGTTTATAAAAGTGTTACATATTTAATCTAATGTAACATATTTTAAGTGTATTAATAAAATGTTACATTTTATGATACAAATGTAACATTTTTTTGAATAATGTAACACTTGCGTGTATGTAACACACAAATGTAACACTTTGATGAAAATGTAACACAAAAATGTAGCACAAATATTTAACGTAACTAATACTCAGTATGCACTATGCCCATTAATTAGTAGCCCACTTCATTTTGGGCCTTAATTTTTTAAAGAATTAATTCCACTTTAGGTCCTCCGAGTTCTGTGTCGTTTCCATATTTAGTCCTCATCTTTCACTTTATCCACTTTTGATACCTCACTATTATTTTCTTGACCATTTGTGGTCCATTTCTGAGCATTTTTACTATCGGAAAATGACTATATATGGTCAAGAAAACAGTAGTCAGGTACCAAAAATGGATAAAATGAAAGACGAGGACAAATTGTGGAATTCGTGCAAAACTCTAAGGACCATAAGTGGGATTTCTTCATTTTTTAAATGTCTAAAGCAGCACTCAGTGTAATTGGAACTTGGAAGCAGGAAATCTGTCCGGGATCGGAGACCCACCTAAATCAATGAAGCAGCCGGAAACCCTACCCATCGATTATTCTCTCTCTTTCCCGTGTGTATCAATCTATGGCTTCAACAACCTCAACTTTCATGCCAACGCTTCCTGACCGCTCTTCTTCTCGCAAGCCGCACGGTTCTAGAGCTTTGCTCCGGCGCTCACCGGCCATATATCAGGAAGCGGAGCTTCTGGTGAAGGAAGGTTTTGAGACGGCGGACAAGGGAATTGAAGCCGCAGAGAAGGAGACTGAATCGACGGAGAAAGAGATCGAAGCGGCCCTGAATTTTGAAGCTGTGGCGCGAGCTGGTGTGGTGGATGGAGCAGTTAATTAAACCTCGTTTATGGTAGAACCCGCACAACATTCTCAATTCTTAGAGGTATTTTTTGTTTAGTTTTGACAATTTTTATTGTTTATTGTGTATCTCTAACTTTGCATATGTATAACCGTGCTGAATAATATTCAACTGCAAACATAAAGGTTGATATTAATCTGTCCGATTATTTTTCTAGATTGTGAAAATAAATGCTTTAAGTAGTTCAAATTGGAAGACATAACTAATTTTGGTTATCTCATGAATGTTCTATTATTTGGATTAGGACGGTAGATTCTATGAATTTTGTTTCAAACTGAGAGGTGGTTTTTTTATGGATGGACTCAAGTAAACAAGCTTATTTTCCAAGGTATCATATTCATATGTTGATTGTAGGACTCTGGTGATGCACTTTATTGTTGTTTCCTCCTTTCTTCTTCACAATTCCTCTTCTAAAGGAAAACTAGTAATTATTCTATTTTAATTTTGAAATAGCATTGTTTCTATAGCTTCGTATTGTTTAGTTCTAATTTATGACTTTGCTATTGTTTTATGTACATACTGGAGCAATGTGAGATCGAATTACATTCTATGATATGATATGATAATAATCAATGTATTTCAAGCTTTACATATGCATAGAAAAATATTCAGAGAAAAAGAATCTAAAATAAACTTATTGAGAATTAAGCACCTTAATTCTAAGACCAAAGTAATCATTAGAGAATAACTCAACATTTAATCATTTATGCAGATGCTGCTTGGTGTAACGGTTATAACTTCGGACAAATCCAATCCCACTTTATTCCAAGGTGATTCAACTTGAATGTGTTCGCTAGTTCTAATGAGGTAATTTTCTCACACTTTGGATACAACAATGCATATCTTGTATTTATTTAATATAACGTATATTGTGATCTTGTGCCTTTTATATTATCAGTAATGTGAGGTTTGATTTTTTCATTCTCTCTAAAGTGGGGAACTTTCTTTTACTATTATAAAAAGGCAGAAGACAACAACATGCTAATTACTTAATCTCTTAATCTGTTTCTAATTAATGAAACCCCAACTTAAACTTGATTTTGCTTCAGTAGGTCGATCCACAATTTCTGGAATGCTAATTTGGGTTTCTTTATATTTCAGGATGATAGAGAGCAAGAACAATAAACCAATGAATGAAGAAGAGGCGTCCTTATGCTCACTATTAAACTATAATTGGGTTTGCACGTTTTTATTAGAAGTGGATTTTGTGAGAGATATAAAGCTATTTTCCATGGGAGATGAATTATCTTATCTCTGAAATTGTTCCTAGGCTTCACCTTTTGTATAGTTGTTATTTGTAAATATAAAGGATAACTTATTAGTGTTGAATAATGTGTTTCATTAAACTAAATTTATTGAAAAAGCTTTGTTAATTACTTGTGGGCTTATATGTGTATTATTATACTATATATATATATAATAAATTTGTGTGTTTGCATTTTTGTGTGTAACACAGGTTAATTAAGTGTAATACGGAGCGGCACTAACAACTCATATGTAAAGTAACAATATTCCCCTATTGTAACATTACACTTTTAAGTAACAAAATTGTTCATATGTAACACACTTTAGAAGGTAACAATTATTCTCTATTGTAACACCTAGTTTATTTGTAACACTTTTCACTTCAAATGTAACACTTTTAAATCATTAATGGTAAGTATTACGTTAGAATCTATAAAGTGTTACAATAGATCAAATGCAACACAAGCAAATGTAACACGGAAAAAGTGTTACCTTTGGTCAAATGTAACATTTTTCAAGCATGTTGTAACAATTCTTGGTGTTACATTAGATGCTTAAATGTAGCAGTGAACAATGAAATTACGAATCAGAAGAACAATTAAGTGACTTGTTAGAAATTACGAGAGGTAAAAGAGTAAATTAGAAAGAGATAAAAAAATGAGAAGGTGTCATAAGAGCATCTCCAATGGTACAACATGCACGGTACACATGTGGCATGAGCGATAGCCACATAAATATTTGTAAATAAATTCGTTATCTCCTTATTTGAATGCTTTTATGCAGATTTGGTAAGTTTTTCTCCACAATGTCAAGGAGACCGTCTAGATGTTGACATTGCAGTTGCGGTGCTTATACCGTGGAACCGGTGCATGGTGAGCACCATGCACCCTTTGTTATTTTTTATTTCTCATTTTCTTAAATTGTTAATATATTTTTTATTTTTGATCCGATTTTCATAAAATTTATATCAAAATATTTTATTTTTCATGATCTTTCAAATGAGACCAATATTGCCTATGTAATTTTAACATATTAACATTTGCGTGTAAAATATACTTCGTATGTAACTTTATGTGTTAAAATATGTAACTCACGTTCAGTCAGGCCAAATGCAACTCATGTGTATAAATATGTAACTCTACGTGTAAAAATATGTAACTTTACGTGTAAAAATATGTAATTTTACGTAAAAAAAATATGTAACTCGCGTTCAGATAGGTAAAATGCAACTCGTGTGTATAAATACGTAACTCGCGTGTATAAATATGTAACTTTAAGTGTAAAAATATGTAACTTTACGAAAATAATTATTTAAAAAAGATATTTTTGTTTCAGTAACAGGGGTTGATTTTTTAATGTAACTCATGTTATTACAATTGTAACTCGTGTTGATGGCAAATTAAATATACCTTAGATGTATACAGAATGTAACTTGTTGAAAAATTGAACAATTTTTTTTTTGTATGTGTTTGAGAATAATATATATGTCATAAACATTGATTTCAATGAAAATAATGAAAAATTGATCCTAATAGCTTAATTACTTTTTTTAAATAGTGAATATGTTTTATGTTTAATACTAAGGCTATAAAAATAATATAGCAGGGGTTTATTTCGTGGTGTAACTCACATACATTAAGATGTAACTCACGTATATTAAGATGTAACTCGCGTACAATAAGATGTAACTCGCGCAGAAGAAGATGTAACTTCATGATATATTATCAAATGTAACTTCAAAATAATTTGTTAAAATTACATAAGCAATATTGGTCTCATTTGATAGATCATGAAAA